GTTTTATGAATATCATCAAATCTTCTCTAATTAGTGTGCTTCTATGCTGCTTCAACAAAATGTCAAGGTTGACTGGTCTAAGGGAGACCATGAATTAAGAACACTGGTTTGTGCTGGTTCACCTGTCAAATGTGACTTTAATTTGTGGTTCTAACATTCATGGCGCCCTTATGTGTCCACAAAAAGCTTTCAGACGAAATCAATACACACAACAGCCAATGACCCATCGTTCAATTAGACATGCAGTTGACATACATGGCCATGATGTTAAGTTTCATGAAGGTGAACAAATATGTAACAATTTCAACTCCACCAAAGGTTGTACTAAACCGTATTGCCGTTACTTGAATGCTTGCAAATTGTGCAAAGCAAATCATTCGAAATTAGTGTGTCAACAATCTAAGACAGAAAATGGCAAGAACAAAACTCCTCCTACATCTACATGACAAGATTCCCTCGCAAACATTAACACTGACAGGCTTAGACTCGAACTTTCAAACCATCCTGATTTCAACTTTGTCCTTTATTTGTGCTCAAGTTTGGAACATGGGTTCGATACCCTAGTGTCTTGTGATGATCTTCATACTCATGAATGTAAAAACGCTATGACAGCTTGACAAAATCCAGAAGAGTAGTAGATGAATTATTTCAAACCGAATTAATGAAAGGATATGTCAAAGGCCCTTTTTCAAATCTTCCTTTTGAAAGATATATCTGAAGTAAGTCCCTTAGGAATAGCTACCCATAAATATTCTGGCAAAAAACGCTTGATATTTGATTTATCTTCTCCACACAACAAAGAGGAACCCAGCATCAATGATCTAATTGATAAAGAACTGTGTTCTTTTAAGTTATGAGAAAATTGACGATGCAATAAATAAAATACAATACTGAAAAGGAAGCATTTTGTGCAAAACAGATATGACAGACACCTTTAAACAGATCCCTATTGTTCCAACACAATATCATTTGTTTTGCTTCAAGTGGAGAAATTCTTATTATCATTATGTACGTCTACCTTTTGGATGAGGTCAAGTCCTAAATTATTTGACAATTTGTCCTCAGCAATTTGTTGGATTGCACAAAACAATTATGGTGTTGATGTCATTCTACATTTACTAGATTATTTTCTAACTATAGATAAACCGGACATGTGTGGTGAAAGAACTATGGCACTTTTGTGTACCATTTTCCATCGACTACATTTACCAATATCTGACAAAAAGACTGTCGGACCCACCTGTCAATTAGAATACTTAGGTATTAAATAAGACACCATCAAAATGCACGCAAGATTACCTACAGAGAAAATTGATAACAGTGTTCAGTTTATATAAACATGTGGTAATTTTTCTTTTAATCAAGATCCAACTATTATGAGATTTATGAAAGGTGTTTTTCTTGCTCAGAGACCAAAACCATAATACAACTTGGGATGTTGGTAAAGTGCTTGAGTATTTGAAACCACTTTATCTGTTGGAAAATTTGGATCTTAAAAAGTTTGACTATGAAAACAGCTTCTTTGACTGCTTTGACCACAGCTCAGAGAGTTCAAACTCTGGTTTCTTTAAAAATTAATCAAATGGCTGATCATGGTGAATATATATATATATATATATATATATATATATATATATATATATAGTGATCATAATTTATGAATTACAAAAAACTTCAAGACCTGGTCATGAAGTACTAGTGAAGATCACTTCATTTCCAAATAAAAGATGTGTGCTACACACTTTAAGAGAACATCTAAAAATAACTAATGAGAAATGCCAATCAAATTATTAATTTCGTTTAAAACTTTCAATGAAATTTCAACAAGCACTGTGGCTCATTGGTTGAAAACAAGTTGTGAAAAGATCTGGCACTGATGACACAAAATTCTCAGCACATTCTTATAAAAGTGCATTAACCTCTACATCTTTTGCTGGTGGGGATCAATTAAAAGAAATTCTTGAAACTGCTAATTGGACTAAAGCTAAAACTTTTTATACTTTCTATAGAAGAGAATTATCAAATTCCTTTTCTGACACTATTCTTTGAACTTAATTCTCAACAGACAAATCTGGATAATAGTAGATTAGGAAGGAAATTGTTTCATCGTTTTTGTGTGCATGGATGAAGGATTTACACATGCTTCCATTTATAATAGAGAGTTATGGACTGGACATGAAAAATACACTTTTTCTGCCAGTGACCTTGAACTTGTGGGAATGACTTTGAGTCAAGGTCAATAACACCCTCAGGCCCTAGGCAATATTTGTGATGAGTATGAGCTTCTAATATTCTCCATTACAAAATATGGTCAGGACAGGAATTAGACATTTTCCAAAATTGACCTAGAACTTAATCAAATGACCTTGGGTCAAGGTCATGACACACCTTCAGGAAGCAATCTGTGTGTGCAGTAAAAACTTCCTTTGTTACTTCATTTGGAAGTTGTAGATCGGACACGAATTTCATACTTATTTCTACCAGTAGCCTTGAACTTGCTGGAATGACCTTGGTTCAAGGTATTGACACACCCTCATGTCATAAACTTCTAATGTTTCTCCATAATAAAAGTTAAGGCCAGGTCACGATTGCACAGACAGACAGCTAGATGGACGGACAGACGGACAAGGTGATTCCTATATATCCCCCCAAACTTTGTGGGGGGGGGGGGGGGTATAATAAGTAACAAGAGATTCATAGAACTTATCAGTCACATGAGTATAAATGAAGCCCCTGTCAATTAAATTTTGTATGAAAAATTTAGTAATCTTGGTAGTAATTATACCCCCAGCAAATGAAGTGGGGGGGGGGGGGGGGGGGGAGGTATATAGGAATCACCTTGTCCATCTGGCTATAACTTTGTTATGGAGAAACATTAGAAGTTCATACTTGGTACAAAGATTGTTTATGACCCGAGGGTGTGTCATGACCTTGACCCAAGGTCATTTGATCAAGTTCAAAGTCATATATGGAAAAACGTTAAATCCTGTCCTGTTCATATCTTGTAATGGAGAACATGAGAAGCTCATACTCACCACAGATATTGCTTATAGCCTTAGGGTATGTACTGACTTTGACCCAAGGTCATTCCCACAAGTTCAAGGTTGCTAACAGAAAGTGTATTTTCATGTTCGGTCCATAACTCTCTTGACCCAAGGTCATTATGGCAAGTTCAAGGTCACTCACAGAAAAAAGTGTTAAATTTGTGTCCTGTTTATATTTTTTTTATAGGAAGTTCATACTTCACATGAATATTACTTATGTCTTGAAGGTGTGTCAGGTATGTCAAAACCTTGACCCAATGTCATTCTGGCAACTTCAAGGTCACAGGCAGAAAGAGTATCAAATTCATGTCAGGTCCATAACTTTCTAATGGAGAAACACTGGATGTTCAAATATGTATGACCAGAGGATGTCATATTTTTAACCACGCACATTTATGGCAAGTTCCTGGTCAAATTTCGAAAATTGTATATGGACGCTGTAAATTGCAGCGGGGGGTATAATTTTGTGAACTCACTCACCGTACCTCTAGTTAAACAAGAGGCCCAAGGGCAACATCACTCACCTGAGTACTTTGGCTACAGAAAAGCAGAAATAAGTTTGGTTTGAACATTTTAAATATATAAGTGGTCCAAACCTACCCCCCAGGCGGACATGATTTAAATAAACTTTAATCTACACTAACTGAGGATGCTTCCATATTTCTTTGACTAATCATGGTTTTAAAAGATTTTTCCCTATAGAATAATTCTATATAAATATGACTAATCATGGCTTTGCTGTTCTTGAGAAGATTTTTAAAGTTTTTTTTTCTTTTATATATTCCTATGTATAAATTTGATCCCCAAATTACAGTCCCGCCCTAGCCCCAGGGGGTCATGATTTGATTAAATTTGAATTTACACCACCTGACCATGCTTTTGTATAAATATGACTAATTATGGCTTTGCTGTTCTTGAGAGGAAGATTTTTTAAAGATATTTCCTATATATTCTTATGTATAACTTTAATGCCCTGTTCTGGCCCCGCCCTACCCAAGGGGTCATGATTTGAACAAATTTGAATCTACACTACCTGAGGATAATTCTGTATAAATATGTTTATACATATTTGCTGTTCTTGAGAAATTTTTTTTAAAAGATGCCACCAAATTTTCATGAATTCTTAATTATCTCCCCTTGAAAGAGGGCGTGGCACTTCCTGTGAACAAACTTAAATCCCCTTCACCCAAGGATGCTTTGTGGCAAGTTTGCTTGAAATTGGCCCAGTGGTTCTGGAGAAGATGATGAAATTGTAAAAAGTTTACGATCGACAAGAACGACGACGACAACGGACAAATTTTCATCAGAAAAGCTCAATTGAGCCTTTGGCTCAGGTGAGCTAAAAATGATTTTACATGTACTAAAATCTAACAAAGTTCAATACATATTTACAACTTTTTAAAATATGTATTGAAACTTAGAAGGTAAGAAAAGATTGTCCTACAAATTATCGTGTCTAAGAAAGACAAAATCTGTTAATGGCAGGGAACTTTGTTATAGATAGGCTCAATATACAACTTAATAAAGACATACATAATATTTACTTCGACATAAGACAAAAAAAAATGTGTGAAAAATTACTTTGATACCTGCATTTTACCGAGGCAATTACCACTCCAATCCTCTAGACAATTTGTGTTCTGTAAACATATTTTGTTTATTATAGAAATGTTGATTAAAAAGCCAGGGAAACTGCTTATTATTTTAATGTACTTGTATAAACATAATAAGATAAAGTAAAACCTATGTATTTCCAATGTCCACTAAAAACAGGTATGGTGATGTACAGGAACTTTAAAACCAAGTGCTCATATTTAAAAAATTATAAAACCAAGTGCTCATAATTTTTTGAGAAGAAAAAAAGTTGATCCCCACACATGACCCGGAACCATAATTACAGATATCCGAATTCCAGCCCTGTTTTTGATTTATTATTGTTAATAAATTACAAGTTCATTATTTTTACCCTTTTTATTCAATTTCAGCAGAAGTAAAGATATTTTTTACAGTGAAACATCAAAATAATGTACACTAAATGACAAATTTAATCCTAATGTAACATGAAGCCTTTTGTACTTATCTTACATGCAGAACATGGATAGGTTAATACATATAGTATGAAATAAAACAAATGCAATGAGATCCATGCTGCCAATGGATATAAATTCTAGAATGGAAATGATAGAATCGCTATGGTAATCATTTCTCATCCAAAAATCACATATTTTCAAAGAATGCAGTGTTATGTGTGATAAAAAAATTATCACATTACGACTAATTAACAGTTTAAGATTAAATTATAACTTTTGTTTCAGTGCGAAAAGTCCCCCCTTTCAAAAAAGTGGCCCAAGGGCCACATCACTCACATGAAAATCCAATCTCTTTTGACATATTGCTATCTAGCTTTACTAGATCAAGTATGACTTTAACAGCATGTTTAAATGCACACTAATTTTAGGGAAACATTAATGATACTTATCTCAAAAATGTACCAGTAAATTTCATACTAGTTTGCTTCCTGTTCAATTTTACAAAAAAATTGCCATCATTTTTTGCAGAACTTTGTTCTATGACCCCAAGCAAGTATGATATAATAAATCTGAAACATCTATACACTAGCTTTCTTTTATACCAGTTTCACATCATTTGCTTAATATATTCTTTAATAAGTAAAATTTCAATGAAACATCCTTTACCCCCCCGACAGGTGTAATGATACATGTATGACTAAATTACACTACACAAATAGCTTGCTTCCACATTACTTTCCTTTATACTTTAAATAATTATTTCATCCACATTTTCTTCACAAGGATTTTCCCAATCATTTCTCTTATTAGGGATCCTTCCTGATCTGGGGGGGGGGGGGGGGGCATCAATCCCTAATCATAAAATACTGATACATGTATGGATTATATATATACCGTATATTTCTCACCTTAGATTCTTGCTTTGAGAGAAAATACAAGAGGCCAAGATGTCTTATCAACCACCTGAGTATCAGTCCATCTTTTTGATTGTGTAATTCAGTTTTAATTATTTAGCTTTAGTATTGTCATAATTGTGCATACATGAGCTCTTATTACATTTTCACCATATGACAATATAAGCCTCACCTTGAAGCATAAATCCCTGAGGCAGGGGTAAAAAAATTCACAACTTATAACCAAGTATTCAGATTATCCTTCACTACTGTGCCAATAATACAAGAAGATTTTTTAGAAATTTAATAGATGTTCATGATATGTTCTTATATGCCCCTCCCTGAACCCAACCCATGGGCTATGAATTTTATAATTTTGGTTGCAGGGTTTATGGACATTTTAAACATGCATGGACTTTATAACCATATTTTATTTATAAATCTGAAATACATGTACATGTATGTGTGGGAGTCGAGAAGATTTTCTTACATTTCATACACGTACATTCTCACTATATTATCATATTGGTCTTGCCCTAGAGTCTGAAGCCCTGCCCCAGGGGTCATGATAAGTACAATTTTGGTAGTTCTTAAAATTGGTCAAATTTTGGCTTGGTCCTTTAGAGCCCCTAGGATGCAAGCTTCATAAAATTTACAATTTATGTTTCTCTTACCCCAAGATACTTAATACCAATTTGAAAAGAATTGGCCATGTAGTTTTCAAGAAATTAAAAATGTTCAATTTTTAATGAATGATGCACGTCAAACAGACAGGAACAAATTGCAATAGGTTACCCGTGCAACTCAAGTGACCTAAATTTGACAGAAAATGATCAACCTCAGATATTAGCTACTTTGTATACATGTATCAGACAGCTTATCCAAGGCAACAGTTCACCTAAAAGACTCAGGTGAACCTGACAAGTTCCAAGTAAAAATCATAAAGAAGGTAGTTTTTCTGTAGCAGTAATTCTTCTGTTCCATCCAAGTTAAGCACAGAAATGTTTTTAAACGCACACCTTGTCAATGTACAGGACTCTTTATTCCTGCTTGCAACAATAACAACAGCATGAACTACAATATCTTCATTCACAAAAAGTTGTTTCACTATATTCAAAGCTTGACCAAGGGTATCACCTCGATGCATTGCACCAGTTGCCACTTGAACAAGGTACAATGTTTTTTCCTGAACTTTAACCTTTTTACATGATGTACATCCCTCCCCTTCTTCTCCACAGCCACCATAAAAGACAAAGTAGTCTACTCCCATAAAATTTGGTATCTGGGGATATACCAAAAACCTATCAAATGACTTTGAGAGTTGTTTTATAAAAAGTGAAAATAATGCAACACTTCTTTCATGACCTTTTAGATTTTGTGGTATATCTTGATAGTATGCAGATAAGTCTTTTCCATCTCGTTCAAAGAAATTTTCAGCAGGAGTGGATGCTACTTTCCAAGGTGTTTGCAACACTTTTTGCTTTTTCTGTGATGGCTGATACAATGTTTCATTACCACTGGAAAATGGCAAAAGTACAGATTTACACACTTTTTGACACTCAACAAACATTTTTTCAAACTCCTTTCTTGCTCCACCATGCTGAAACATAATTGGCAAAATTTTATCAAAACCAACAGTTTTTGCAATACGTAACATCTGTTCTAAATCATAAGGAAACCTTTCTCGCCAACAGTTTGCCAAGTTAGGAATCAGATGTTGAATTTTTACACAGACATCACCAACACCCAAACCCATCCTTGCATATTCAAGATTACTTTGCAGATCATCTGTTTGAATTTTGTAACGCTCAACTTCAAATATGTTGATCCCTATCTTTATTTCCTGTGCCCATTCCCCTTTCATGACGATTTCATTTCTGTTTGGAATAAAATGAAGGAGAACAGCAGTGTGGAGCTGAAACTTGGCATACTCATTATTTTCACAACTTTTACAATTAATGATTTTATGTTGTTTCTCTTTTGTATACTGTGCAAAAGCATCTACAACTGTTCCATCTGTTCTGGTGTACATATCCTCTAACACACTATTCAACAATTTAGGTGTCATTATGTACTCCTTTGAAAATTCATCATAAACTTCCTTTCCTTTGTCTAAAAGGCCCAATCGCTGCCCATAATTCTTATCCTCCTTGTCTTTTTTCGATATAAGGTATTCCAAGGACCCCTTCCATATGTTAAGAAAAGAGTCTTCATCAAGCTGAAATTTCCTTCCAAATTCCATAAATTTATGTGCACTTGCGGTGAAACCTGTTTCAATGAGAATAAACTTTGGATCTTCAACTTGCCGTTCCACAATTCTTTTAATTTTTTCTAGATAGTGTGTATTATAGAGGGTTAAATGATCTACAATAACACAGTCCTTATCTTCAAACTTCTTAGAATAAGCAACAAAAGATTCCAAATCTTCATCTCTCTTTTCAATTTTGTTTAAGTCAACATAATGAACTGAAAGGTCACCATTTTCTCGACAACTAAAAACATAGTAAATTGCTGATGATGTTTTCCCTAAACCCTCAATTCCATTCAAATAGATCCAGGTACTTTTTGTTGCTCTGTAATCCTTTAATTTCTCAAGAAACTCTTCATGAAATTTTGTTTTGATAAAGTATCTTCCCTCTTTAAAGTCAGATACACTGGCAAAAAAGTTGCCCTCTTTATCGTCATGCACATGTCTTAGAACACTTGCTTCAAATTCCTGAATCTGAAAAATAAATTGAGATAACATGTATACTAATAACTCGTGTTTGATATAGGAACACAAGGGCTTTCAGAAAGATTAGAAACAGATGGTACTTTTATATCAAGAAGCCCATTGGACACAGTGCTCACCTGAGTCAACATGACCCCGCTGTTCTTCATCAGCAGATTTTTAACACAATAAATTTTGTAAAAGTTTGATTGCTTTTGTGACCCCACCCTACCCCCAGGTGTCATGATTTCAACAAACTTGAATCTAAACTATCTGAAGATGCTTCCATATCAATGTGACTAATTGTGGCTTTGCTGTTGTTGAGGAGAGGATTTTTAGATTTTTTCCCCCTATATATTCCTTTGTTATACCTTTAAAAAGTGGTTCCTATATTAATCTATACTTACAAACAATGGGCCAAAGGGCCTTAACGGTCACCTGAGTATAATACAACTCTGTTAAGGATCCATAGAATGACAATTTCATAATTATATGATAAAGCAAAATAAACTGATAGGGCGAACGTTTTTTTATTAATTGGATTACAGATCCGCCGACCGTATTTTTTTTACTTTTAGAAAAAAATAAAAATGCAAATTTCCACATTATTTTTTTTCTAACCGACAATAAAAATTGCTATGTATTAAAAAAAAAACCAAAAATTAATTCTGCCTCTATAAAATTATGTTTAATGTATAGATAAATTGATTTCTTTCACAGATTACCGAACTGAAATGTGTACTTTCAGTTTTTATTTAGCAGACAGGAACAACTAGAACTGTCCAAAAGGGACAAATACCCCCTGCTGGGTTTTTTCAGAGAAGGTACCAAATCACTAATGTTTTCTAGATGTGAGAGGTGTTCACAATTTGCTTAAACATTTAGAGTGAAAATTTAATTACTCATTATATTTTTTTAATGAATGAAACTAAGGTGCAGCCTAATAAAACATCAATACTAATAATTAGTGTTTTTTATTACACTGAAAAAATAGTTTGCAACTATCTGTCATCTTTGTGAGACATGACACTCTACAAATTAATTGTTGAAAAAAAAAATATCATAATTACTTAAACAAAATCAAATTGATCTTAATACATTTTATATCAAACTCATTTTAAAAATAAATGGCTGGTTCCAGTAACTATGTATTTTGACAGACATAAATTACAATTAAGAGACTTAGACAACAGGGATCTTTATTTCTTTCTGCCCATTTCCCAGGAGATATAGAAAAGACCTGCTTGATCAGAGATGCCCTAACAGCTTCCCACACTGAACTCATTAATTAATCTTTAACTGGATGCATGTCCACTCATTACTCCCAAGGGACAAATGGATTTACACTATCTGCTGTGTAATGTAAAAACTGTTTTTAATACTTCGTGATTTTTTTTTTAGTTCTAATGAGTAGTTTTAAGCTTTCACATTTTTGTACAGATGTTCTAGATTCTATATCTCAAACCTTAGACATGAGACCCGAAATGACTATGTCAATAAAAATGAAAAAAAAAAACACCTGTAAAATGCATCAAAAATCATCAAATAATGTTGAAAATACCAGGTGCACATCTTCATATGGTAAATAATAAGTGTACAAATTTTCATACAAATCTATGCAACAGTTTCCAAGAAATGGTCCGGACAAAATCTCGTCTACAGACAGACGGACAGACAGACAGACGGACAAGCTGATTCCAATATACCCCCCCCCCAAACTTCGTTTGCGGGGGGTATAAACAAACATACGTTAGTATTTTAGCTACTGACATAAAGCAGGGTACAGAATATACAACCCTGCATAAATCAAACTGTTTATGGCTTATCCTTTACGACTAGGATGGTTCTATTGTGTGTCATCTACCATACGGATGTATATTCATTGTCACAACACAAAATATCCACAGGGGCTTGTCATGTAATATTTACCTTTAAATATAGTTATCCCAGGGCTCGACATTAACTTTTTTTCCTACTTGTCCATTCGGACAAGTGACCAAGACATTCACTTGTCCGAACTTCAACTTCACTTGTCCGAAAAATTTTCAATAAAGATCTAATACTGTCAACTTGAAAACTAAAATGAATTCCATTACATGTGCTTGATTGATTCATGATGTTATTGATAAATACAACAAACACATAACACAAAATTTTATCTAGACATGAATTCAATTCAAATTTTTGTCCCCCTTCACTCATAGATGCTATGTGCCAAAATTAATTGAAATTGATTCCGCAGTTCCAGAGAAGAAGCTGAAAACATTCAAATGTTAATGCACGACACACAATACACGACGGACAAAAACAGATAGCAATAGGTCACCTGAGTGACTCAGGTGACCTAAGAAGTTTATCTTTTCCAATATTTTACTGAGCGGTCACAAAAAAATCGATGTTTGACCGCAGAGCAAGGTATTGGACCTGTCGATTAGATATTGGTCCACTTATATCACACTGTGGGTGGGATCAGCTAAATCTTATTTGCATTCGTAGGTGTTAGACAGTGACAGAGTTGACCGAGTTTTATCTCAGTGCGGGTGAAGGAAATTTACATCATGGAAGCAAATACAAGATACATCAAGGACCAACCTAGGGGGCAACTTGGGCGAAATAGTCACCCTGTGGCTTAAAACTTCACCAGATTTTCAATCTCGAGAGAAGTTTCAGTCGCCTTGCTTTTTTCATTTACTATCATAAAATCATTTCCCTTGATTTAATTAGAGAGGAAAATGTATTAAATAGTCCTTCATAAAGCCGTTTTCACAGCAGTAGTTCTGAAAATCTCAGCATGAAGATCTTCGAGCCATAAAAGTTAGTGATGCAACACATCTGGTAAATGACCACTGATGTTTTGTAATTAGTTATTAAATCATTCTAATGCCATTTAAGACACCTAAATATTGTATAGTGATCATAAAAACAATTACAGTTATCATGATAGTTTGTCAATGAGCTAACTGTACATACATGCATTACGGCTATAAATAGATCAGGGTTAGACTAATATCCCTAAACGGACGAAAATGTCATTTAACTTTATTTCAATCTAGGCCAAATGAAGAAAGACATTTTCATTCATTTCAATTGTTTTAGTGTTACTACACATTATCTTTTAAGAAGACAATTGTTTTTCACAAAAAAAAAAATCATGTTCCACTAATTTGTTGTTGTTGAATTAATCATGAAATTAATGAAACTAAATAATGTTCAAATGTTTGAATGTTTGCTGCATATTGATTTTCTTCGAGATAGATTTGAGTTACAGTTTAATTACAATTGTTTAATTTATCTTACAATCAGTTTTATCAATTTTATGTCATTTTTTGGTTTTTAAGTGTTAAAAAATGGGGGGGGGGGGGGGGGGGGGCTAGTAAAGTCGTTAATCAACAGAATATCAAGTCTCCCTAATTTGCTTTAAGGGAGAAGTGAAGTCTTCTTAAACTTTGGGTCTAGGTTGGTCCCTGATACATAATAATAAAAACTAGATATCATTGAGATGGTGGCCATCTCAAAGGGCCCCGCTTTCAGCAACGAACATGAAAATGTAAGGTAGCTGAAAAGGGTTTATTTTGAAGAGGAACATTTGTGTACTATTAAGGGATGTGTTGTTTGAGTCTAAAGGGCTTCTATCTCATCCTTGTTATAATAAAAAATGGCACAAAAGTTCATTAACTTGCTATCCTTTTCGAAGAAAATACCTGTGTAGAAATGTTGCATGGTATTTCTCATTGATGTTGTGGCATTGTTGGTGGATGAAACATGGCATATTAGGTATTGATAGAATGTCAATTTTATAAGCTTTCATGAGCATTAATTGTTTTTGATAACCTTATATATTTATTAGTTATGACTGCATTTGTAGTCCCCTACAATTTGGGGTATTTTGAACCACGAGTGTACATGACCGCAGCTATGCACTTGTTATGTGTCAGATATACTTATAACATTGGTTTTCTTAAATGTAAGGGGTATGAAAGTAATGATTTGACAAAGCAAGAGCTAATAAAACTAGCCAGGGTATTCACTTGATCAGTGTTGATCCTAGCTTTTGTCATACAAATACGGACATGCATGTGTACACATATTTGTACAAGTTTGTGTATGTGCAAGTTATGCAGTGATATATGTCATACTTGATAATAGTGATATTTAAATATGAGTTGGTTTAATTCCTTTTCATACATTTATTTATTATCATCATCATTATTATTTTACCATTACCGTTATTCTGTTGATAATTGCTTTTCTGCACGATCTGCTTCTGAGAATGCCGTTTTATAGTGCGACGATAGAGGGGGGCTTTAATAACTTTAAAATAAACAAGAACAATCAACAATAAAATAATTCTTTTTATTTTTGGAGACTTTTAGTAAACAATACCAACTAATTCATTAATTATTATGTTGTTATCTGACCGTTTTTAACCCATTTATTTCGTGATTCGAAATACCTGGAAATGACCTGCAATGATGTAATTATAACCCCTGTCAAGGTTGTTGTATCGAAGACTCGCCTTATAAAGTAGATCTGATTTTTCATAGAATATGCTTTCCTTTCATACCAAACAACAATTTATAAACTTCATAAAATCATTTGCAGTCAAAATGTAAAGGGTGATTCCGAATACCCTAAATGACAGAACTTCAATGGTAAGAATTGGTCCTACTCCAGTAGCGAGTGTCTCGTTTAACGGGGATTTTAAGTTACCTAGGACTACAGTGTATCAAAAATCTATAAGAATAGATTCATGAAATATATTAAAGAGTCTCTGCTGAACATTTTGAATTTATATTACAAAGTAATTATCTTATGTACATTAGCGTGAAATTTAAGAAAACTGGGTTAATATCCTATCCACTGTAGTAGATACACAGGCATCATCACTTTACTTAAACCTACGTGATTTCAAGAAATGAAAGCTCAACTATTTCTCAGTACTAAATGCTTAAAACATCCCTCTCTTTCCTCTTTATTAACGGTAAAAGTAAAAGAGGCCCATAACACAACAAAATAGAAAAAAACGCCATTTTGAAATTCTACATATACTGATGAATAGGTTGGGCACAGTTCCTTTTTCGAGAAGTATTAAAATAAAACGGGATTATTCCTCTTTTCAGTAATAAAAAACATTACTGTAAACGGGAATTTTTGTCATATTTTTAAAATAATGCCCCAAATCCATTTATTAAATAAAAAGTGCATGAAAAATACGATGTGATGTATTTAAAATTTATTAAACCAACCTCGCTGACAAAAAAATTCGGTCCTTTAGTACTGCAGACAGGAGTAAGATGAGATTTAATCGTACGACATCATGAGTATTCCTCAAACGCTGTGAATATTTCCCTTATAAGTTATGTTATTATTTGTTCAAAAACGGAAAAATTCATAGCTTCGTTTCGTGGAGGTGACATCTTTTGAACATGCATAGGAATTTAAACTCATGTGCAGCAGTAGTCCATGACTTTTACTTTAATTTTCCCTGTTTATAAATGATACGAAAAGTATGGAATCTTATAAGGGCATTCATGCTAAACCCA